GCGGTGGGAGGAGGTGACTAGCTGCCTACCCTCTAGTTTTACACTGCGAAATTAGCGACGACTTGCGCAGATAGCCCTCGTGTAGCTTTGCGCGAAATTCAAAAACAAACAAACAAATACCTCCTAAAAAAGTTGTTATATTTTATTTTTAGATAACCACGGTTAACGAAAATTCATTCGTATTTTAAAAGTATATTAAACTCTGGTTATAATTAATTGGTTGTAATTAGTTAATATCATCGGTGTATATGTCACTCCAGGATGATTCTTTATTAACGGGACCGAAACCTTGTCAACAATATAGTTTTTGAGTCACTTGCACAACTTCTTGAAGATCTATGCGCAGTCAATGAAACATTTTAATAAATGTTAAACGAGGTGATCAAGCAAGTAACGCCACCTTAAAAGGTTTTAAAAATGTATAATCATAGTTCGTCAAAACTTGTTTTCATAAAAACCTAATTTAATCTTTATGAAACACTGTAGTGACGGCTTTGATATCTGTGAGCAGCGATAGACACGTTACTGACTGTTGTTTTTTTATTATAATTTAACCTGCCTAGATTTTAAATGCTATCTTTTTTTTTATGCATATGTCTTGTTTATATTTTGAAACAAAATACTGAAATATAGGGTAATTTAAATAAATTACTTGAAATTTTACTTCATAAGACTTTGTTTGTAGTATTATTTTCCTTTGACTTTTAATAACTTATTTCTACCAGATAAAGAAATATGAAAAATATTAACTATGAAAAATTATAATTATAACAACCTTTTTTTGAGTTTTTCCTCTTTATTTTGTGCTAAAACCAAAAACGATTGACCATAAAATTATTTGATTAATTTCATTTAATCAATTAAGTTTTCTTAAATGAAATGTGAGTCAGTGTATTTATGTATATGTCAAGTCTTCAAAGGACGTGCAGCACGTGTTCACTGTAGGACTAAATTTAATTATTTGTTTTATTTGTATTTTATATCTTTTCTTATTTATTAGTTTTAAATAAATCTCTTATGAATTATAAAATGTTAGTTTTTATTAACCAATTAATCCTGAGGATTTGTTTCTCTGTTTTAAAGCAAAGCCACATTAACTGTCTGTTGTGTCCACCAAGGGGAATTAAACCCTGGATTTTAGCGTTGTAATTCCATAAACTTACCGCTGTCCCACCGTGGGACTAATTCTGAGGAATAACACAGGCTTGCAATGGTTTTATTGTCTGGAAATGTTTACATGTTCTACAGCAGTTCCTGTACGCTGAATCCGAAAATGATATCCATTTTCTCCATCACTTTTTACAAAACGTCATATGTACTTTTACATAAGTGAATCATTTTCATTTAAATCGGGTCACGTTTTGTTATGCTTAAAATGTTGACAACTACTGGCTATAGATTTCTCAGGACCAATCGCGACGTGAGAGTGTTATCGATCGTTCTACAACCCAAACATAACAAACATAATAATAAAAATGGTTCACTGTGGTAAACGAAATAATAATTTGACCTCAGTAAGAGTTTTTCTTCTCGATTTATAAAAAATCCTTACGTGATAGAAAAAAATTAATATTATTTTCAAAATCTGCGTAGCTGAATTATGAAAAATCCGTTATTAAAACCGAAACAACTTTTATGAAGTTGAAATTTGCAGGCCAGTATAATCGGTGAAGTTAAGAAGCCAGTAAATAAAAATTATGAAGAACTATACAAATTTTGTGTTTTACTGTTTATTATATGCATAATACATACAGTTCATCCAACTTGAGATTTTAGAAGATGGTTAATTGTCAATCCAGTTGTTCCCCCCTTTTTTTGAGTGTGATTTATTTCCGTCTGCAAATATGTTATCGCAGGATTTTCTTTCACTTCATTTCAAAATATTTTATAATTACAGCATTTATTTCCACTTCACATTCGTTGACGTATTCTGAACATTTTTTCAGAGCAAGTGAAACGTTGCAAAATAATAAAAAGATAAGAATATTACATTAAGTCAATCAGTTTTGGTGAGGAAAAATTCATTGGCAAATTTCCCATAATGATTATCTTTCTGCAGAAAAGTGTCATATTAAGGCATTAAATGAAAAAATTCTTTCACAACTGAGTACTTTTTAATTAATCTTTATTTAAAAAGCGAAAAAAATTAGTGCTTAATTGTTCAATTTCAATGTGTTAATATACATTTTCAACATAATAAAAGACACAATTCAGTTTAATGTTTAATGAATATCCACGTGTGTTACCAAAATAAAAGAACCATAAAGCAGTAGTGAGAAGCGATGTCTTCTAGTAGTTACCAAGATAGGGTTTTTGTGTATCTTTGTTCAATATAGATACTATGTATATAAGAGGTTTGGTTCGTTTATCTGCATTAGTGAGTATGATATACTCAAAAAGTATTTTTAACCACGTCCAGAATATGTGATACTTATATTTTTGTTATTCTGTTAGCGCAGTAATACTGAAAACTGAGTTGGTACGAGAAATTTGCACCAAACACCAAAGAATATTAGTTTTATAGCTTGTTATCACCATAGAATTCGTTATAGTTTGACCAACATTTTAACATTGTTAGATATACACGACTGTTCATTTTAAGTTTAATAAGAAAGTATTAATTAGTTTATATAGTGCGAACGTTAAATAAAGTTGTTTTTATAAGCGATAGTTATGCCAAGTTTGCTTACATAACTGTTTGCGAATCACTTATTGCCTAGTTCAATTGTTGTGAATTTACGTCACGTTACTTGAACTTTCTGAATTTTTCTCGTTGCTTTAGGTGAGTATTATTACATCATGACGTTTCGTAGTTTGTAGAAAGTTTCAGGCCTCAATCAGGAAATATATATAAGCAACTAACTTAGTGCAGGTAAGTAAGCAAGTTAGTGAAATTGAATGTAAAAGTGAAATTAAACTGCGTGATTGTGAGTTTAGCCGTAAAGAGCGTATAATGTTTTTAGTTGTTTATTAAAGTGAAATTATCACTGAATGTATTGTAATAACAGAGTAGAAAAGAATAACTCGTCTTGGCAGTTGTTTTCTAAAGTAACTGAAACCGTCTTTGTGGACTTTGACGAGAAGAAACGATTATTTAAAGCTCTAGATACAACTGTGTAACGAATATTTATATACGTTTGAGTTGTTTTGAATATATCATTTTAAAACAAGTGGATTGTGAGCTGTCAGTATATTGTTTAAATGTATCGCCAACAAGTCACAGACACCTACTGTAAAGAATCATGCCCACATATATACGTAAAAACCTGACAAATATATAAACATACAGAGATGTTGCTTGATTATTTACCATAAAACTTTTGAGGGTAATTTTCTTGAACTGTCAGGTTCATATCCTTTCCCACACTTACATCTACAGTTTTGGTAGTGCTTTTTAAATGGTTTCCTTATGCTTAGCAGTTACACCATATAGAAAATAGGGAAATTTCACGCTTTCTGCTCCGAATCTGCTGGCCCATTACTCTTATAGTCTTTTTACCTCGTGTCATTGCACTTTCTGGATTTTCAACTTGAGGCATCGAGTCTGTATTCACTTAGTCATCAGTCATACATTGGATGTACCACAGTGCCCATAAAGAGAATAATGTTGGATAAATTGTCACGGATATAATAGAAAAATGGATGATCAGCTATGAACACTACTGGTCTTCTCGGTCTTGCCGAGCGAGCTGCTAGTATCCCCGTAGCCGCTGCTGCCTCTGCACCTTCCTCGTTCACTTCTATGAAAGCTTTGTGATGAACAGCGTCGACTGTAATCACTTCTTGCTTTTCGGTGAAGCCAGACAAATTGGCATATCGGGGACTAAATATGTCTCTCAGGCCCATCTTTTGTAAGACGAATGTAAGATCAAAGTTACTTTCAGATCGGAACTTCGGAAGAGAAACCCATACATCAGTTGGGTAGACAGAGAAAAATATGTTAGAAACTTGATCAGGAGTGATGAGACGCGACAGACTGTCGACGCCAAAATAACGATTCTTTGGGAGTAAAATCACCATACTAAAATCATCTCCGGAGAATGGTAGTTCTAGAACCTGACATTCCAAGACTTCGTTGACTCCGTAGAGAAATGTTCCGCGCATGTTCATCATCCAACTCGCTATATCCATGCCAACCGCAGTTGTGAAAATACCTGGGCGTGTCTTTTGGATTTCAAATTGTTGCCTCCAAGCACCTTTAAAATAAACAGCGTTAGCTATAACAAAATTAGTCATCGAATTAATACTAAAATATGGAAGGAAATTTTCGATTTTGCAATTAGTCTGTTCTTTGACCCATTCGTTAATGGTCAGCCGTGCTTGTTCAGGGTAGCGACGAAAATCTAACCGGCTGACATCGTTTTCAAAGTAATCTACTAAACACTCACGAAGTGGAATATCATACTGAAAATAGAGCTGATTGGCTAACCGGAAGATGTCGCTTTTTTCACTACGTTCTTTGTACCAAAACTGGATAGATTTGTAGGCAACGGCGCTGAAGGCCTTGTCCACGTGTCGAATTCCTAGAATACAGCTTAATTCATGCTCTGTATGTCCTTTGGTACCGATAAAAGTAACGGCCAGAGCTGACCAAACGCTGAAAGGACTAAAGAATAATCCGCTGGACGTTTGGTCATTATGTTCCGCTTGAAGAACGCGAAACATCTGAAGTCCGAAATTTAACGAACCGTTTAAATATGCGCGAACAGTGATATCAATATCCTTTTGAGGTCCAGTAGTGTCATTATCAGAAATGCATTGTAGCATAATTGGATCAAAAAGGACCCACATAAGGCATAAAGTATGTAGAAATGAAATGGCTCCCATTGTTGTAAGATCGAATGGACTCTATACCTGGAAACCAAAAGATTAACAACATTATAAATAATCTTTACAAGTTAGTTAGAAGGTTGCAAAGAAAGTTCGAAACCAAAGAAAATCCTTGTTAAAATATCTATTACCAAAATATTTTTAAAAAATTGTACTTGCTCAGATATGCATCTTGCAACAATAAGAAACATTAGTTTCAATTTTTCCTCATAAACTTCCAGTAGATATACATCAATATTTCATCCTATTACAATGTTTAATACTTAAAATCACCTAGCGGCTAAAATGACTTTGTTTCAGAAGTTCCGTTTATTAAACAGTTAAGAATTATTACTATTCTGTTTTAGGCAAAAAAATGCTTATATCATCAGTGACCAAAATTCCAGAACTGAAATAATTCATACAATTTTTGCACCTTTATTTTTTTAGATATAATATTTATAAATCGGGTTAAATTTTTTTTCACTCTCTTATGTTATTCATGACTAATTGTTTACTACTTGATGCAAGATGTGCAAAGTAGTTGAAAATACTGTCATAATTGAAATAATGTATTACTTAAGTTCGAGGATATCATTTTCATGATGACCGAAGTAAAAAAAAAACGAGTGATCTCTAATACGGTCGTCCCTAGGTGGGACAATGGTAAGTTGGCTTACCAAGCTAAAATTCATGGTTTGGTTCCCTGCAGTGAGCACAGCAGATAGCCAAAAGTGGTTTTGCTTTAAAACAAACTGGATCTAATGATGGTTGTTTTTAATTAATTGCTCAGGTTTAGGGCTCTTACCCAAGACAAAAGGGCCCGGCATGGCCAGGTGGTTAGGGCGCTCGACTCGCAATCTGAGGGTCGCAGGTTCGAATCCCCGTCCCGCAAAACATGCTCGCCCTTTCAGCCGTGGAGGCGTTATAGTGTTACGGTTAATCCCACTATTCGTTGGTAAAAAAGTAGCCCAAGAGTTGGCGGTGGGTGGTGATGACTAGCTGCCTTCCCTCTAGTCTTACATTGCTAAATTAGGGACGGCTAGCGCACATAGCCCTCGTGTAGGTTTGCGCACAATTCAAAACAAACAAACCGAAGAAAAAGAGGCATCGTACGAGTGATTCAAAGCTATTGGGCTTGACAATGTCAACTGTAATGAAGCACTGACTCAATATCATGAAAGTATAGGAAGATGTATTATTAGCATAACTTTCACTCAAAACTTGTATGATAATCAACAGATATGCTCTTCTTTATTTTTAATCTTAAGAATATATACGTTTAAAAACACACCTGTAACTATGGTTACGGGTTTAGACTAAAGCAAACTTTCCTGGGAATTTTACTTTTAAGCGCAAAGTTACACAACGGGCTATCTGTGCTGTACTATCGGGGGGATTTTCTCGGGAGCAATATATTGTTAATAATGATAATAAAACTGCTCTTTTTCGAGTAATCGTATCTGGCTCTAACATTATTTCAGCTTAGCCATAAAAGTTTTTCGAGGGCCTGACTGGATTAATTCTCCCGCAACGTACATAATTAAATTTGTTTCAAGCTTCAACTTATAGTGGTATTAATTATTAACTACATAATATTTTGCAATAATCTACAACTTAACTGAATGATTAAGTAAAGTAATTTTTTCCTTGAAAAATTTTAAATATCTAAGTAAATTTCTTTAATCGTTGTTATTCAATAAATTAGGCTTATCTCCTAAAGATTAATCTCAGATTTTTCAGCTTACCTGTGGGTTTCCTTGAAAAATTTTAAATATCTAAGTAGATTTCTTTAATCGATGTTATTCAATAAATTAGGCTTATCTCCTAAAGACAAATCTCAGATTTTTCAGCTTACCTGTGGGTTTCTAAAACGTGACTCCAAGGTCAAATTTAATTTTGTTCTAGTTCACTTAACCTTCTGCCACACCCTTTACCTTAAAGCAATTATTAATAACAATCTGGGGAGAAGAAATATAATTTACACCCAAATAAAATTCCACCCAGCAACTTGAAAACTTGTTTCAAGTATCTTAATTAAGTAGAAAATAAATCACACCATAAAATTTGCGATAAGCTTTGTTGTTGTTTTTTACCACATTTTAAATTTTAAGAAAAAAATCTAAATTTAAATCTAAATCCCTTAATTGCATGAGCCACAGTCCTTAATAGCCTAGTAACTGAAAGATACGCCTGTCCAGCCGCCCTTTGCTAGTAGTCGAGCGTTCACCAAAACAACTAAAAATCTGGATTCACCTTGTTGTACGTAGAATTTGCGTAATCCATCACGGAGAATGTGGTTTCATCCGTTGTATTCGGTCTCGTTCCACCGTGACTTTCAATACATCTTTTCAAAGTCTTTGTTTCTTTCTTGGGAGAGAAAGAAGAGCACGTGATTAGCCAGTCTCACTACCTGTGTATACTATTGTAAGTACTTAGTCTCCAGACCAGCATGACTTGTTAGAGATCGTCTGCTTGGAGCACGTGGATGATCTCTTTAACTGATATAGTGCTGTGCGCTATCTTAAGACTGGTATGATTTGTCAAGAAATTAATAATACAAGTTTATAAAACATACAAGTGTACTTTTTCATTTGTGTCACTGCAACAAATGACATATAATAGCATTAATGGTTTACTCATAAATACAAGATAAGAAAAAAGTAGAATATTTGTAAGAATCATATCATGGTGTTGCGACAGAAATGGGGCATTGTATAACCATAATGGGTCACTGTGTCCTCCAAATATGAGAAAGGGAGGGTTTATAACACTTTTATCAACTGATTTCATCTGCCGCTTTAACATGCGGCCTTCACAACAAGGTCGTTGGCATCAGCTGCTGTGGGAAGAATGATGGATATTTGTTGGATATGAGGGAGAATGAGTAGACCGTCTAGCTTTACAGCACCTGCAAACAAACCTTCGATCTGTATCAGTTCAGTAAAATATTTTGTGAACCGACGTTTAGCTGGCGACTGCATGGTTGTCGTATGTTAGCCAAGGTTAACGTTCACAGAGTCTTGCAAATCTTGCATATTTCATAACATACCTAGAAGTGCTCCGAATTTCCATCAATATCCTTCATATGTGTTTAAAATTAAGAATACATCGTCTGGAAATGATGAATTTTACGACCTTTTGAAAACAGTATAATGCAGTAAAAAACAATGCCAGTTTAATAAACGTAAAACCCATTTATCTCCACAAATTGAATACATTTGACAAGTTAGGTATTTACAAGACGTTCACTTTCTCGACTTATCATGTAACTTGATACCTACTGTGAAAACGGTCTGGAAATTACGAATGAAAGAACATGTAGGATTTTTGTTAAATGTTTCGATTTTTATTTCTTTTTATTTCCTTTACCTCAATGAGCTACCTGTGATCTGGCCACTGTAGAGTATCGAATCCCATGTTTTAGCGTTAAAAGTCATCAAACTTACCGAGCTGACTCACACCGAGAGAGAGTATTTTTCTTTCTTTGCTGAGATTTTGCGATATGAGACAGTATTTTCCTTTCTTTGCTGGGAATTTGCGATATGAGACAGTATTTCCTTTCTTTGCTGGGATTTTGCCATACGAGACAGTATTTCCTTTTTTTTCTGGGATTTTGCGATATGAGACAGTATTTCCTTTCTTTGCTGAGATTTTGCTGAGTATATCATTTGTTTAAACACTGAGTAAGTAACGATGTTTTAGATTAAAATGTTTAGTGTTTGTTAAACTCTTTAAAGGACATGAAGAACTCTAAAATATAGTAACTAACATCACTTATTCTCAGTGCTAAACTTATAAAGTACAGTATGAAAAACAAGGGTATCCAGAAATTACATTAACAATACCAGCATTGTATTCTATTAGACCAGCAGACGTACATTGCACAATGTTCGGGAAAACGTGAGTTCGACACGCGCCCGGCAACAATTTCAATTTAGTACCAAATAAATGTTTATAAGCGTGTTAACATAATTTCCATACTCTGTACCAGTGGTTCCCAACCTGTGGTCCCTGGACCCCTGGGGGTCTGCGAAGATAATACCATCTCATTAAACAAGTAAGTTTTTTACTTCTGCTGTTCTTTTAATTGCACACTCAGTTATATATATGTCTTTTATTTGATAGTGAAAAATGGAAAAACAAGTTAATTATT